ACGTTGAAGGTAATGAGAGTATTGAGGGCAATGGTTAGTTGAAATGTTGAATATGTTAAGGTGCCCAAATCGTTTATGTATTATTTTCGTCGGATGTTTTTTTTGTTTACTGATAATGTTACCGTAAATCAAACCAAACAAACGTTTGTAGTGTATTACCGCGTCTATACCGTCGGCGTTTTGTTTAATTTTTGTGACGCCCTTTTATATGGACAAATTACGATTTTATTTTTATGAAAATACTTTAATCCTGTCTCGTCAATAGTTATTGGCTCGTGTTTTTGACCGCCCAATCCAGATTAAGGGATCCGATATGGCAAATAAAAATAATGAAGAAAGAAAGTATTAATCGAAAGAAACAGGAATAGATAATCTTAGATAGGGTGAAGTTGATATTTGGAATCAGGGTTAATTATACTTAAATGAATAGGTTTGTTTGTATAAACAAATATGTAAATCAAAGGATCGTGTCGTAGCCTTTACCATCTTTTTTTTAATTATTTATTATCTTTTTTTTTCTTTTCTTTATTTTTTTTTATAAGAATAGCCCGTAGACAGCCCGGCTGCCGAGCGACGTAGCGCTAAGTCGTGGAGGGCCGAGGCATGCGATAGGGCACTCGCGGTAAACCAGTTAGACTCGACTCGCGAACGAGTACTACAAAATATCGCGAGAGCTCAACAAAAATGCCGAATTTGTCGTAGGCCAGTGGGTGTTAGGAAACACGGAAGTTGGTCGAAAGGCCAACCAGACAAACTACAGCATACATGGCACGGGCCTTATAAAATAGTTGATAAACTATAAATCTGAATTATAAGATTGAGCGTAAAGTTAGAAACAGTTGCAAATACGACACGGTCCACGTTAGTGGAATAAAAGGAAAAAGAAAGGAAAAAATATTCCTTTCACTTTTCTCTTCGTTTTTTTAATATAGATAAGAACTTATATATAGATGTACATATGTAAATAATTAAACATAATTATAGTAATAGGTTTAGTTTTAAGATTCCCCCCATTAGATAAGTCGTAAATTAAGAAGACATATAAGAAGTTATAGTGGGATTTTTGTTTGTGGAGAGTAGGTTGTTGCAACATAAATTGTATAAATATAAGTCTGCAGGCTTATATCGGGACGCCATATCGGATTTACGTTTTTGTTTTATGGTTATATATATGAGTTTGAAAGCTGGGCCCAGTAGTCCACGAGCGAGGACCATTGAGATGTCCGAATCGATGGACGCGTACGGTTTCAATCGGGGAAACCGCCCTTAATCAACCCCGCAGCCGTCGAAATATTATGTGAATTATTATGTATTATGGATTATTATGGATTATTTTTGGGAAGGTACCTTCAGCGAAGACCGGGATGGCGACATAGGTCGCAGCACGCCATCTCCCGTCAAGGGGGCAATTTGGGGTACTTTTGTGCCGGGCTGAGGAACCCCAGGTGTGTCACGCTTACATAGGTGTTAAGTGTAAGTGCCATTTGTTTTTGGGTGGGCATAGACGGTCGGTCTAGAGATATTATTATTGGTATGGGGCTCTGCGGGGGGAGCAATGAAGGAAAACTAGATCCTAGCCCCCATCTGTGGTCTTGTATTTGGGGGGCAATCACACCAGTAGAGGCTGAATTACAGTAAACGTCGCGTCCGTAAAAGTAAACTAGTTATTTAAATAATTGTATTTTGTAAATTGAGGAGTATTTTTGTTTCTTGTTTATTGTCATATTAGTTTCGTTTTTTTTTCTTGTCAAAGTTTTTCCGCGCGTTACACAGTAAAAGATTGTCCATATCATCGGGTTCATGATTTCTGGCGAACTGATTTATAATTCGGGTTACGGTTATTCCATTAATTCTAATACTACAACCAAGAAAATAGGTGACAGCACACGCACATAGGATAAGATTGCGTTTCAAGGAAACGTGTTACGAAAAAATTGTACGAAAAACGATTGTACTTCGAATATTTTTTTTTATTAAGTTTTGTCTTTTGTTAGTCTGTGTTATATAACTACTTTTTTTCTGAGTCTAGTCTTGTTTTTCTTTTTTTTCTGAATTTGCTGAGTACAGTTTTTCCCAACACGGTTTCTTTGAGAACGAAATAGGTTAAGATAGTCTTAAGCAAACGGACTTATTTTTGTATTGTAATTTTTGTGTTACTGAAGGATTTTGTTTTCGTTTTTTTTGTATTAAGGATGTTAATGTATTTTTTTTTATCAGACCCGTGTATATGTAAGTTTATGTTTACTAGCTGCTACGTGTTTTGAGTTTGTAAACAAAGGGGGAATAGCTTACCAGGATTCTAGGAATATCTGACCGGAACCACAACGCCTAAAGGATGGCCAGCACGCAACCACAACTACAATCATCGTCTAGCAGCCAAGGCTCACACTTGAGCAAAGCCAACCAAGTTAAACTAGCCAACCCAAAGACGAGGACCAAAGAGCAAAACAGGACCCTACGAAAAACACCGGAACAACCCGGAAAAAACCAGGAGAGGGCAATAATTTCAACTTTGAATTTAAGAGCCGAGGCCGACTCTACTGTGACAGGGGGGCGTGTAACGACAATCGGTATTGTCGTCAAAAGGGTTGCATAACCACCAGTGCAATGACGCTCCCCCACCACGCCCAATAGGGATGCCAATATAAGGTCCAGTCTGGGGTTGAAAAAAGGGCATTAAGAATTGTATCATCCTCTGAAGAGGTCAGTGGGTCCAAGCGCCAGGCGCTGGACCCGCGTTGTGTATAGTGGTGTGTGTGTTGTGCCAGGAGAGGAGAACCCGTTCCAGTAAAGGTCAGATGCATTATTGGTTTTATAAACTATTCCCTCCGTTCCGTTATCGTTACTCCGTTGATACCGTTTTACGTTAGTAATTAATAAAGATTTATGAGTACGTTAGGTTTTAGGCAAAGGGCATGACAGTACGTAGGTATTGTCATGCCGTGACACCTGTAATAATTAGTAATAATTAAATAAGCTAAAAGTACATTCTGTTTCATCCGCGTAGTTAGTTGGCTTTTCCACAGGTAATTACAGGGTGGTTGTAGAAGTCGGGTTTAGGAGTTGGTGTAACCCTTTCGTTGGGGATGCAACGCTAAGACGTAATAATGGAAGTCGTTGCATATACCCTAAGAAAGGTAGCATCACCCCTTTTCTCGTCACAATATATATATATATATATATATATATATATATATATTGAAATGAATAACAGCCAATGCGTCGAATGTAAAGAATTTATTTTTTATACGTTTCGAGACTAGATGTGTCTCATCATTCAGCTAAAAAAATTTACATTATAAAAAAAAGTTTTAAAAAATTGAATTTATATTCGAAAAATTAATTGAGAAAAAACAATTATACACACCAGATCAGGAAAAACCACACTATATTAACACATTTTACAACACCACAATCTTACTACTGTAGGAAAGCAAAAATAACTCTAGAAAAGACCAAAAAAGGTAAAAGTAAAATTGTATGAAACACATATTTTGTTTTTAAGGTCTGGATGTTTCAAAGATACGAGGCGAAAAGAGACAAAGATCTTAATTCAGTTTTTGAGGGCACTAAGCGTCCGGTTTGAATAATTCAAAAAATATTTCATTTGTATTGAAACGAAAAAATGTCTGAATTTCTGGAAAGCAAGTCCAACAGTTATGAACTCTCAATAAAAAAAAGTTAATTAGTAGTGCAAGACAAATTGCTGAAACGCCCCGTACCATAATTAAATATTCGAGCAATTTCAAATGTTTCTGGCCTGAATTGAAATCTGACTAATTTTAGATATTAAAAAAAAATTAGCAAGAACCTTTTTTTCGCTTTCCCTAAAAATGAATCATTTCTTCAACATGAGCCAAATGTGTTTTGAACTGAAAACAGATTGAAATAATGAAATTCTGATTTTCTTCGTGCGTTTTATGCTTTCTACTTACATAAATCATGTTGTTTGTAAAACCAAAATTATGTTAGATTATTTAAAGAGCACTATACTATATATCATTTGTGAATTCATTCGAAAATGGAACGCTGGATTTACATATTATTATTATACATACTTTTGGATCTCAGAGATATCTAACATACCAGAATCTCGCGTAGCCGCAGTGAATTTTTTATTCGCAAAATCACAATTGCAAAATCTTCTAAAACTATAAGGTGTTCGATTTATTTGAATATTCCGTACTTATTCATATTACAATTATCAATTAACGTAAATAATACAGCATTTATTTGTATCAGAATGCTTTGAAGACGATACCATATACATCACTAGTTACAGAATCGTGTTTATTTTTTTCCTTTTTAGTATATTTACTATGTAGTAGTGTTGAAATATGTGAGATTAAATCTTCAGGACAATATGACAATTAAAAAATGTAGAGATCTATAAAATAATATTGATTTCGTAATATATTACTTTTTGTGACCATGGATTTTATTTGAATTTTCGTAATCTAATTTTATCATTTTTTTAACATACTATTTAGCATTTAATTCATTGATTAAAATAATAAAACTATACAAATATGTTAAATAAACGGATTATGTAATATTTTCTTGACTTACACTTATTATTAGATCATTATTCTAATTCTCATAAATTGTAACTGAATTTGATACCAAAGCTATCTGATATTCAAACTATTGGAGTATTATCATGAGCAGGAATTTGTTAACTAGTGGTGTATCACATTGTGCTCAAAGGCAAATTAGCAAACTTTCAGCTTCAATCAAATATAAAATAAACATATTATTTTGAAAATAAAATTTAAAAAAAGTCTTGTATTTCTTTAAAATTATTTAATCATTATAAATTTCTTAAACATATTGTATTTTATATGATCATTAGAGAACAATATTCAACCATTTGATAATCACACAATTTTGTATAGATTGTACAAAACCACGACAAATTTCACCTTAAATGTAAATCAATAAACTATCTAAAATAAGTATTGTAAAATCAATATTGTCTAAAAACTCCATGTTGCCTGTTAGTTCTGGTCTCTCTGTTAAAGGCATCATTTTGTTTATCCTACTGATGATAAAATTTCGAATTGGCGTTGTATAACGTTGAAGCTAACTAAGTGGTTCATTTAAACTCCAGAAAACATGCAAAATCACTTGTTGGCGAATTTTGGTTGGCCTTAAGAGCAAGTTCAACCTTCTTGTTCTCTTGCGTTTTTGGTCCCGAGTGAAAACTGATAATTTTCGTTCATTTTCTCTTAATTTGGTACATTGATTTCTTGATTAATATTTAAACAATTTTTGTAGGCTATCGACGAGTTCCGGCTATGGCAGTAGTAATTATCCTAGAAAGTGTGGCCCTAGGTGCTTAATCACCGTAAACCCTTTAAATCTTGCCATACCGGTGACGGCCTCGAACTCATCGTCACTAAGTATATATGCAGGATCATCAGGATCCTGCAGCTGTCTTTTTTTAATCTGGTCCCAAACGAGTTTAATGACGTTGTACCGGGTCTGTGGCTCTGAAGACCCGATTAATTTCGCCAAGGATTCAGATAAGAAATAACGTCGGTGAATTCCTACGTTTGATGCTGCTCGTGTCTGCAAAAAGATTTAAATACTTTTATCAAAAATGATAAATAGGGAGGGGGGGGGGGTTCGTATCGATTTTTATTGAGGATTTTAGTATTGTTAATTTGTGTTGTTTAGATTAGTACTAATAAATGTCATAGGTGAAAATAAAGGTCAATTGCTTGGAAATATACTACATTATCTAGGAAACGTTTTTACTTAGTAACTAAAATCTATATTTATTGCAAAATAATCTTTATTTACATAGGTATTAATTTTTAATAGTATTTGTTCATATAGGCATTTATTTTTATGATATTATTTAAGTAAAATTGTTTCTTCTTTTCTCATTAGTAAATCTACTTACAGATTTTTTTTTTTAATATGTCATAGAATAAGATTTTATTAAAATCTTACAATTTGAATATGTAATATGAATTAATAATTGTAAAACAATATATCATGAATAAATCAGCTTTCAATATATATTTTCACATCTATTGTCTAAATCAATCCATTACCTGCTTTTTCTTGTTGAAAAGAATGTCAGACAGGGTCGATCTGTGTTTCCTTAACTTCGCCCCCTTTCTATGGCGCTTGGAAACCATCGTGCTGAAATTAGTAGTGTATGACATTACTGTTTCACATCAATTTATATATCTCCATTATAATTCAAACTATTTTTTTTAGTGGACACTTAATCTAAGCAGTAATAAAATATTATGAAATTTTGTTTTTTGGAATTAATTTTATCGAATATAATAGAAAATTGGCAGTAGGACAATGGAATAGAAAAAAGCATTAAAAAACTAATATCGGATAAAAGAAAAAATGAGCATACAATATATATTAAAAAGCATATTCATTCATATCAAGTTTTAATTAAGTGAAATAAATGTACGAAATATTTCAATTAAATTAAAATGTTCAAGAATGTTGTCAAATTGACTTATAGTACGATTTTTTAGCCTTGAATTATATTCAAACGTTTTATTAGTAACGATCAAAAATAGTTTATAGCAGATAAGTGACATTTGTACGAAAACGAAAAAATCAAAAACTCGAAAAATTTTTAAAAAATCAAAATACATTGTGTAAAATCTAATATTATTATAATGAATTTTACTTACTTTTTTATTATGCCTCGTAATTTTTACACTATATAATTTAGAAAAGAAATACTTCAAAAAATTTTGAAATTGGTTAAAATTTTGTAGGGTTTATTTTTTTTTGTGTTTGCAGCATACTATAATAATTTGAAATTTAAACAAAAATTAATTCATAATAAAATGTCTAGTAGGTCATTAAAATAACTGATTCTAGAAAATTCAGTGTGCCAAATCGTTTCGGACATCTTGTCAGGCAAGTCAAAGGTGTTAAATAACGACGATTTCTAATGCATGTATTCATTTATGCATTTAAACAAATGCTTAAACAGCCAGAAGTAAAGAAAAGTTATAAAAATAAAAACATATTTTAATAAATACTCAAAAATGTATGTTGTAAATGATACTGTATAACTTATATACATTATCAACCAAGCTCCGTGTCATTTGTAGTTTTTAAATGCTTTACTTTTTGCTGGTTTGAATATTGAAATACCAAGAATGACCGCAATGTCTGACGAACAAGATTTTATTATTTTATTCAGTAAGGCTGACTTGTCAGCAAATAGAGCATTTGTTAATTATATTATGACACTGTTAATTACAATATTAATGAAAAACATTCTACGTCTGGCATTGTAAAAATTGCTTATACAAAATTTGAAGACTCTTATAGTATTGGTAAATACTCTTGTATGAAATTACACTTAAATTGCAAGTTGTAAAGGATGTGGCATTTTGCAGGATGTTGCCTGAATTTTCTAATACGTGAGTGTATATATATATATATATATATATATATATATATATATATCTTTAATACTGACCATCCTATAATTTTATATAAAGAAAAAAATGTAGACCTTAGAAGATTTTCTGAATCATGTTTTATCTTTTTAAATTCAAATTGTGTGAACAAACGCAGTTCTTCTTGCTTACTCTCAGAAAGTTATCAAATATAATTAATTTCTGTAAATTTGACTCTCTACTACGCCCCAGATATCCCCACTTCTCCATGCTCGCGTTCTGTCAGCATAGCGTACTACTCGTCGCCGACGCAAATAAGTCAAACCGTGGACGCTATGCTATCGGTTAAAAACAAAATATGTGTTTCATACAATTTTACTTTTACCTTTTTGGTCTTTTCTAGAGTTATTTTGCTTTCATTCTACAGTAGTAATGATGTGTTTGGGGTGTTGTAAATGTTTTAATATAGTGTAGTTTTTCCTGATCTGGTGTGTATAATTGTTTTTTCTCAATTAATTTTTCCAATATAAATTCAATTTTTTGAAACTTTTTCTTTATAATGTAAATTTCTTTTAGCTGAATGATGAGACACATCTAGTCTCGAAACGTATAAAAAATAAAATAAATTCTTTACATTCGACGCATTGGCTGTTATTCATCAATATATATATATATATTACATCCTTTACAAATTGCAATTTAAGTGTAATTTATAACAAGAGTATTTACAAAACTATAAGAGTCTTCAAAATTTGTATAAGCAATTTTACAACGCCAGAAGCGTAGAATGTTTTTCATTAATATGTAATTAACAGTGTCATAATATAATTAACAAATGCTCTATTTGCTGAAAGTCAGCCTTACTGAATAAATAATAAAATGATAACAGTATTTATACAAAAACGCCGAGAATCAAACCAAAATGCATAAAATAATTAGATATAGCATAGATTTAGAAGGATAGTAGAAAAGACAATAACTTGTAAGTTAGACTCTAAAATAGTGGACCAATTAGAGGATTTAATAAAATTATACAAGATGCAGCAAAAGAAAATAAATCAAAGAACAATAAGAGCCAGAGAAGATACCTGGATAACAGAAGAAATTATTAAACTAATGAAATACAGAAACAAATTCTACAATAATTTAAGAAATGCAATATAAATGAAGTAAGCAAACATAATGCCATAAAAAATGAAATATAATAATAATAAAAAAAGATATAAAAAATATGATCTAAAAGCAAAAGACCATACTATTCAGAAGAAACAAAAAAATGTGAAAGTGGACTCTCGAAAAATATGGGAACTAATAAATAAAACATTAGGAGGAGGAAAAATAAAAAACGAATATAAAGAAAATATTGAAAAATACAGAATAAAGATAAAAATATATTTCTACAGAAAAGGAAGACATTGCGGAGTATCTCAACAAACATTTTGCTGAAATAGGTATGAACTAAAAGAAAAATGGATCATTGCAACCAAATACCCTAAACATATAAATCAATACACAGACTAAAAACAAAAATCCAAATTTTTGAATTAACAGATGAGAAAGAAAAAAAAAAATTGTTGAAATTCTGAAAAATAACGCTGCACCTGGCGAAGACAAGATAACAGCAAGAATCACTAAAAAAATAATAATATAATAGCTCCCTACTACTTGCTGTTTTAATGAATAATACATAGAATGTGGTGTATTTCCATCGTGTCTTAAAATGGCTACAATAAAACCAATTTTCAAAACAGGAAACAAAACAGATCCAAATAACTACAGACCTATAACATAACAAACACATTCTCCAAGATATATGAAAAGTAATAAAAAAAAGATTACTTGATTTTCTCATTCAAAAAATTGACAAAAATCAATATGGTTTCCTCCCTTCATCAAATACACAAGGTGCCCTAATAGATTTGACTAATACCATCAGTCAGCACCTTGAGGAAAATATGCACACAGTTGCAATTTTTATTGATTTACAAAAAGCTTCGATACAGTAGATCATGGCATATTACTTAATAAACTAATAGATTTAGGTGTAGAGGGTTTGTCTTACAGCATTATCAAAGATTTCCTCATGAAAAGAGTGGTAAGGACGAAGGTGGGAAATTTCACAAGTGGAGGATGTAACATAACCTGTGGAGTTCCACAAGGTTCTGTATTAGGACCTTTATTGTATCTATTATACACCAATAACCTTAAAGACGCAAAATAAAGGGAAGATACATATTATATGCAGACGATACAGCGATAGTATATGCGGATAAGGATATAAAAAAGACTCGAAGATATTATAAACACGGACATGAAAATATACACCGAGTGGCTAACTGAAAATAAACTAACAATTAACATAGATAAAACAAAATACATATATTTCAAACATAGAAAAAATACTGAGAACACTAAACTAAAAATTGAAGTAAATAATAGAGCAATAGAGGAAGTGGAAAGCATAAAATACTTAGGACTGATAATAAATGAAAAACTGACATGGACAGACCATATAAACAAAATAAAAAGAAAGATAGGAACATTAACAGGGGCATTGAAAAGGATCCACTCTTTCGGCAAAAAAAATAAAATACTAATTCTTAAAACGCAAATAATGCCTATAATTTTATATGGCATAACAACATGGAGCCAAACAACTAAAGCAAACCTAAATGACATACAGAGAATAATGAATAAAGCCATAAAAATAGCATATAATTTACCACATCTAACACCCACCAAATACTTGCAGAGAGAAAAACAAAATCATTCACTAAATAACATAATTAAAATAGAGAAATGCAAACTAATACACAAAATGAAATTTAACCGAATTAAAACAAGTGCAACAATAGACACAAATCAAGATATACATGAACACTACACGAGACAACACAACAATTTTCACATTGAACGCAATAGAAAAAAGAATTTGAGAGAAAATGTCATATGGAGTGCTACCAAATATATAACGAATTGCCAGACTATATTAAGATGACCAATGATAATGATAATTAAAAGAAAAATAAAGAAGTACTATATGGAAATTGAAGAAAAAGAAGACTGAAGAGTTATATATAGATATTATATTAATGAAATAGGTATTATAGTCAAATGAAATGTAAATATTATATGAAAACTGTTTTTCATAATCTCTCATACCAGGCACCTCTGTCTGACTGAGATATGAAAATAATGTATATATGTAAATAAAAATAAATAAAATAAGAGATTTAAAACAAAAAAAAAAAAAAAAAAAAAAAAAAAAAAAAAAAAAAAAAAAAAAAAAAAAAAATCTTGTTCGTCAGACATTGCGGTCATTCTTGGTATTTCAATATTCAAACCAGCAAAAAGTAAAGCATTTCAAAACTACAAATGACACGGAGCTTGGTTGATAATGTATATAAATTATACAGTATCATTCACAACATACATTTTTGAGTATTTATTAAAATATGTTTTATTTTTATAACTTTTCTTTGCTTCTGGCTGTTTAAGCATTTGTTTAAATGCATAATGAATACATGCATTAGAAATCGTCGTTATTTAAACACTTTGACTTGCCTGACAAGATGTCCGAAACGATTTGGCACACTGAATTTTCTAGAATCAGTTATTTTAATGACCTACTAGACATTTTTATTATGAATTAATTTTTGTTTAAATTTCAAATTATTATAGTATGCTGCAAACACAAAAACAAATAAAGCCTACAAAATTTTAACCAATTTCCAGAATTTTTTAAGTATTTCTTT